GTCTTTCATCACCTTAGACGAAATAAGGTGAATACATCTCATTAAAAGAAATAGATTTCATAGATTAAAGTGAAAAACTTTACCCGATCGAATAAACGCAATAAGCTGTTTTATCGGTTTGCCTCCATTGGAAATAAAGGCTTTTAGCACGTGAATCATAGATGAAGAAGATATGTAAATCACCCAAGCTCGTGAAATGCCGTAAACACAAAAATATTTTTATGGAATCCTGCTGAAGATGCAGAGCCCTTAAATAATATTCGGATTTAGTAGGTCTGGACCTAACAGTATACCTTAAATAAGAGTTGAGTTTACATAACTCACATAAAGTGATAAAGGACTGAAAGTTGAATTTCCCTACAAGTATATGAGTAGCTCTCCCGACGCCACTGAATTTCGTTTAGCCTTAACTCCCAAGAAGCATCTCTATCCAGAATGGACTAGTTTCGACGTCTAAGCCTCACTGGCACACCCAACGAGAATCGAACCTTGTTAATGCAGCGTATAAGTTCGAAATGTTAAAACCACGCTGCACCGTCACGAGTATCAGTGAGTCACAGGTCGGACGTGAACATAAACAAGCTCGATAGTTTCTCAACTTACACACTTCGAAGCATAGGGGCCATCAATTATTACGAAAAATACAAGTTTTTCCTATCCTAACCATTTCATTGAGGAAAATTCAAACATCAGTCCTTGCACCATTTTAGGCGACCTAAGACCTTGTCAAGAGGTAGATATATTGGATGATCAAAAACGTTTGAATAAAAAAGAGGAATGTGAAATGTTCCAGTAATGCAAACCTCAGTATATGGTTCACTATCCATAGATAAAGTGACCTCATTGGAATTTTCCTCGACCGAATTGGGCTTATCGTGTTCACTCCCCAGCCCTTCTCCTGACTCGACTCCACTTAGGGGATTGCTAAGATTATCGTCTCCATTATCTACTTCCTTATTCTTTCTAGAATCCTTTCCAACTTCATTGCCGTTCAACTCGTCTCCCATTGAAGACAGCCGGCGGGCATGTAGCCACTTGTCCATAGGCCCGCATTCGTCTGCCTTGGCCTCCTCAGCATCTCCCTCTCCCTCATCTTCGTCGTCGCTATAACCGTTTGCATCATCAATGTCATCAGCATCATCTAAACGTAGAATATTTAAAACAAACAAAAGGGGAGTAGCACAGATTTAAGCATACCAAAATTGATAATCATGTAAAAAAGAGTAAATATTGCATAAACATCTGTCCAATAAACTGTAAAGTATCCAAAGCCATGCGATCCGTAGAGAGGACGCTAATAAATGAAACTGGATCTTCGAAAAGGTAAGTAGAAAAATAAGGTTGTAGATGGGCAGATTAGAAGTAGAATATAATCATAAGGTTGACAATGAGATGTTATTAACGTTGAAAACTGTCGGCAAATAGTAGAGTTAGGCATCTTACTAGTGTGGCTGCCATAATAAAAAGGGGCCTTACTTTGCAATGGAATAAGACACCACTTTGTTTATGAAGTATTGTTTTCATTTTAAAAAGTTTTCCAAACGAGAAACGGGTGAATTAAATGTTTTGGGAGGCCTTTAACTAATCATATTCAACACTAGTGCTTGCTATCAAAGAAAAGTTAATTTAAATATATATTTTACATTTTGAAAAAGGCAGTAGGGGGAGACCGATCTGGCTAGGCAGAGTTAATAACTAAGCTTAATTCCTAGGATAGGCTTAGGCCCATTGTATGCGTCATGTGGACAAAAGACGTATTTTTATTTTGGTAAACATGGATTACGGAAAAGATATATTTAGGTTTAGCCAGATTGTACAAGGGGCTTAGTGACCTCCATTTTCCAGTTCAATAACCAGTTAAACACAAGTGAAAAG